CTCCTCCTCCTCCTCCTCCTCTTCTTCTCAAGGACAGTTTCACACAGAGGGCATTGCAGTAATTCAATCTGATTCAGAGCATGGATTACAAGGGACACCTCGTCACAGTCCCAAAGGGACAGAGATGGCAAACTAGCCCAGAGCTGGAAATGGGCACTGCTAGTCCCTGAGGCCACCTGAGCCTCAAGTGACCCTGCTGGATTCAGGAGTACCCCCAGGCATATATGGCTGTGTGTGGGTTAAGCTTTGTCATCATCATCATCATCATCATCATCATCATCATCATATTAATCCACCCTTCACCTTCAGTTCCCAGGGCAGATTACAACATTAAAAACCACATTAAAACCGTTTAAAACAACTTACGATCTCAGAAATAAGATGAGTCTTTCTTTACTTGCTTTTTAGCGCTGTCCCTTGGCTCCACCCCCACGTGCTTTGAACTTACCCCCGTCATCCTCAGGGGGTTGGCCAGGTAAGTATCTGGCCCTCAGAACAAAAAAGGGAAGACCCCACACCAGTAGTATGTTTTGAGAACATTGGAGATTCCAAGTGCTAGAAAATGAGACAGAAACAGGAAAGGATTGTGTGTTTAGGGGGAGGACAGGACGGGGAGCAGCTTTTGAGGGCCCCAGGTTTAGGACCCCCACCACAGCCTAGTGTCCACAATGCATTTGGTACTCACTCGTCAGTCGCAGTTCTGACTTCATGCATTGACTGAAAGGCAGGAACAAGCGGGGTATTCATCTCACAGAAATGCCCTCAGTTGTCTGCACATTTAGTATGGCAACATTACTTCTAGGAGGGCTAAAGTCTTCCTTTTTCTTTTAGAGAAAGCTCAGAGTCTGTGCTGTGGTGCAGTCCAACCCTGGTTCCTAGTAAGACTCATCCACGCTTACTCAGGGAACATTTTTCTTCTCCTGACAGTATACCAATTTTATAACAGAACAATGCGCTTGTTTTGTAGGACTTGCTAGTGCTTCTAATTGGGACAGACAGAACTGGCAGAAGAAAAAGGGAATCTCCGCGAGGCTTCATTGAGAGCACAAATGGATGAGCAAACTCAGCTGACCCTGAAGCAGAAAGAGGCCATGCTATCAAAACTTGAGCAAGTGGGAGTTTCTGGGGAAACTCGCTGCAGAAGGTCCTGGGTGAGGAGGACACCCTCTGCTCAGAGGTGCAGAGCCAGCAGTTCAGGCAGCTCTGTTCCCTGGAGACTGAAGACCCGAGAAGTTTGCAACCAATTTTACCGTCTTGATGGTCAGTGGCTGAAGCCAGAAAGGCATACAAAAGTTCAGATGCTGGACCCTGGTGATCATGGAGCAGTTCCTGGCTGTCCTTCCACTAGAGATGGAGTGCTGGGTGAGGAATGTGAGCAGAAGACCAGTTCCCAGCAGTAGCCTGGCTGAAGGTTTTCTCCTGAGTCAGCAGAGAGAGAAGCAGGCGGAGCAGCAGGTGAGAGAGACTTCCTCTGGATGCTCTAAGGGGCTCCAAACATGGAGGGAGAGCATCCCTAAATCCCATCCTTTTGGAAAGCATCCAAGAAATGCCTCTGCCATTCCTTTTCCAGTACATCTCCAACTTCCCTGTTTTAAATCCTTGTTGCTCTTTCAGGGAAAGGAACTGTTTGCAGACAAGGGCTTGGATTCCTCAGAGAGGACTCTGTGGGAAACCAGAGAGAGGCTGTTGGGTAAGGACTGATGAGTTCTTTCTACATTTTGGCACATGCTATTGATTTTGAAACTAATATAATGGGTTCTTTGAATTCTTTTGAGGAAGACATTTGGGCCCAACATGGAGTCTACACACACATAAAAACTGTTTCTGAAAATGCTTTTTAAAAAATACATTGACTTTTCCATAAGGCTCACCACCGTCATTTAGTGTCACATTGCATATTGCACTGAAAACACACTTAAAGCCTTTATTTGTGGCTGTGTAGCTGAGTCCCAAGAACCCCAAAGGAGTGGAGATCCATTTTTGTAGCATGAAAATGTGAAATGAGTACAAACATCCAAATGCACTCAGCAGGCAAGACTTTACGTAAGGCCCACCTGAAGTTAGAGTCGTGCTGCTTGACCTCTGAGAGAAGCATGCACCTGTGTCTTCCTACTTGCCTTCTTACTTACAGGTGACCAAATGATGCCATCAAGACATGCTCCTCCATCTTTTCATGGTGCTGGAGGGGAAGCAGCGGCTGTGGAACCAGATCAAGTAGGAGGAAGAAGCCTTGTGGGGAAAGAGGCTGAGGGGTGGGGCTGCCTGGGTGCCTCCGGGCCCAAATGAATCTCTCCCCCTCCTCCTGCTGCTGTGAAACTGCCCTTAACAAAGTCTGAACATGCCATTCCAGAAGATTTGTGTGCTGTGAATAATCAACAGCCACCTCTCCTTAACTAGGTTTCCGAGTGTTGCTAGTATTATTTACCGTATTTTTCACTCCATAGGGTGCACTGGACCATAAGGCGCACCTAGTTTTTAGGAGGGGAAAAAAAAATCTTATTCCCCACCCCAGCCCCAAAGAGCAGCGGACAGGCTTCTGGAGCTGTCAGGTGAAGCCCGGGTTCGCTGTCTTGGCTTCGTTTTTAGCCGTGCGCAACCTCTCCTGGCTGGAGAGGTTGCGTGCTGCCTTGGCTTTGTTTTTAGCCACGGGGCTGGGGCAGGGGAAGCCCGAGCTTCCCCCGACCCAGCCCCCAGAACAGGTCGGGGAGCGGCGGCAAGGTTGCACGCAGCCTTGCCTCCGCTCCCAGAGCTTGGGGGGCTGGTGGGGGAAGCCCGGGTTCCCCGCCCCCAGCCCCAGGGACCACACATTCGCTCCATAAGACGCACAGACATTTCCCCTTAGTTTTTAAGAGGAAAAAAGTGCATCTTATGGAGTGAAAAATACGGTATGTTGTTGCACTTTTATTTATATATTTATTGTTGAATGCTAAGACAGGCTTCTAAGCAGTGGCCAGGAGTCCTCTAGCCAGCCACATCAGTTGCACAATGGGGCTCAGCTCCCTTTCCTCCCACTCCTTGTGCCCCCATGCACCCCTTGCAGTTGGCTTTAGGGCATTGGGAGCCCCCCCCCCCGCCGCCAAGAACAGCGCATTGGGGAGTGGAGTGGGGATCTTTCCATCTGGCAAGCTGGAATGCTTGCACAGAGAGAAGGATTTGAAGTTCCACCCTATTACACAAAATTAATACCCATCATTAAAATAGACAACAAAAAATCCATTAAAATGTTAAAACAAGCTCACATAATTGAAATGTGCAGCAAACCCATCCAATTAAAACAACACAGCAATTCACAGGCAGAAAATAGCAGAGCAGTGTACAGTTTATATTCTTCATGCTGTCTAAGAGGACAACCTTTTTCTTTTAGGGTCCAGTGTGCTTTGAAGATGTTGCTGTTCATTTCACAGATGAGGAATGGGTGTTGCTGGATCCTGACCAGAGAGCTCTGCATAAGGAAGTCATGGAGGAGAATCGTGAGGTCATGGACTCTCTCAGTAAGACTCCCTCTTGCTTCATAATTTCTGTTTTGATATTGAGTATTGTGACAAACCTCCAGTAATTGGATGGAGCTCAACAGCACCATCTACAGCATCAAGGATTCTAACTCCCCAATGGAGGACTATCAACTGTTTTGTCTGTGCATATTCTCCCTCCAGTTAGGCTTCAGAGCTGTTAGGAAAGTTGAAACAGCTTCTGTCAGGGTTTTTGGTTGACTCAAGAGAAAACTAACATTGGAGATGGAGAAGAATCCATGATTGGGCAAAGCAAAATCCATCCCAGAAAAGAGTCAGGCTTTATTGACCTCAGGTTCCTATAAATATGTCAGTTAATACAAAGACACTGAACCTTGTAGTAAGACCTGGGTGTTCATCAGTATGCATATAATATCCAGCTCTACCTCTCTTTCAAATCAGAACCTCGGTCCAGTATACCTGAAGGAGTGTTTCCACCCCCATCGTTCTGCCTGGACACTGAGGTCCAGTGCAGAGGGCCTTCTGGCGGTTCCTTCACTGCGAGAAGCCAAGTTACAGAGAATCAGGCAGAGGGCCTTCTCGGTAGTGGCACCTGCCCTGTGGAACGCCCTCCCACCAGTTGTCAAAGAGAAAAACAAGTACCAGACTTTTAGAAGACATCTGAAGGCACCCCTGTTTAGGAAAGCTTTTAATGTTAGACAGATTATTGTATTTTAATATTTTGTTGGAAGCTGTCCAGGGTGGCTGGTGAAACCCAACTAGATGGGCAGGGTATTATTATTATTAATAATACTAATTATTATCAATAAATGAATGAATAAATAAATAAATAATTGTCTAACTCCCTTCTCTTTTCTCTCTCTCACAAGCATTGATTATCATTGTTCAATAATCTGGGGCTCAGTTTCTTCCTAAGGCTCTAATCCATTTCTCTTATTGTCACAGGTGCTGATGAATTGGAAATTAAGAACAAGAGAGACCACTGCAAAATCCACACAGTGGAGAAGCCATATAACTACATGGTGTGTGGAGAAAGCTTCAGTCAGAGCTTCTATTCCTCTTCCCATCAAAAAAATCCCATTGAGAAGAAACTCTGTCAGTGCTTGAAATGTGGAAACAGCTTCAATTCCAAGAGGAGTCTCACTTCCCATCAAAAAACTCATAGCAGGAAAAAATCATATCAGTGCTTGGAATGTGGAAAAAGCTTCAGTCAAAGCTCCTATCTCATTTCCCATCAAAGAACTCACAGCGGGGAGAGACCATATCATTGCTTGGAATGTGGAAAGAGCTTCACCTGGAAGGCAAGTCTCACTTCCCATCAAATAATTCATACAGGGGAGAAACCATATCAGTGCTTGGAATGTGGAAAGCGCTTTAGTCGGGACTTCCATCTCACTTCCCATCAAAGAACTCACAGTGGTGAGAAACCGTATCAGTGCATTGAATGTGGAAAGAGCTTCAGTCAGAAGGGCCCACTCACTTCCCATCAAAGAACTCACAGTGGGGAGAATCCCTATCAGTGCTTTGAATGTGGAAAGAGTTTCACCTGCAAGGAAAGCCTCATTTCCCACCAAAGAATTCATACAGGGGAGAAACCATATCAATGCTTAGAATGTGGAAAGAGCTTCACTTGGAAGGTAAATCTTACTTCCCATCAAAGAATTCATACAGGGGAGAAACCGTATCAGTGTTTGGAATGTGGAAAGAGATTCACCCAGAAGGAAGGTCTCACTTCCCATCAAAGAATTCATACTGGGAAGAAACCATATCAGTGCTTAGAATGTGGCGAGAGCTTCGCCTGGAAAGTAAGTCTCACTTCCCATCAAATAATTCATACAGGGGAAAAACCATATCAATGTTTGGAATGTGGAAAGAGCTTCAGTCGGAACTCCCATCTCACATCACATGGAAGAATTCACAGAGGCGAAGAGCCATATCAGTGCTTGGAATGTGGAAAGAGCTTCATTCGGAAGGATAATCTCACTTCCCATCAAAGAATTCACAGCGGAGAGAAACCCTATCAGTGCTTGGTATGTGGAAAGAGCTTTAGTCGGAAAGAAAGTGTCACTTCCCATCAAAGAATTCATACAGGGGAGAAACCATATCAGTGTTTGGAATGTGAAAAGAGCTTCAATCAGAACACCCATCTCATTTCCCATCAAAGAATTCATACGGGGGAGAAACCATATCAGTGCTTGGAATGTGGAAAGAGCTTCAGTAAGAGGGCGCATCTCACGGCCCATCAAAGAATTCACACTGGGGAGAAACCATATCAGTGTGTTGAATGTGGAAACAGCTTCAATTCCAAGGGGACTCTCACTTCCCATCAAAGAATTCATACAGGGGAGAAACCATATCAGTGCTTGGAATGTGGAAAGAGATTCAACCAAAAGGAAAATCTCACTTCCCATCAAAGAATTCATACAGGGGAAAAACCGTATCAGTGTTTGGAATGTGGAAAGAGATTCAGTCGAAATTCCCATCGCACTTCCCATCAAAAAACTCACAGCAGGGAGAAACCATATCAGTGCTTGGAATGTGGAAAGAGATTCACCTGGAAAGGAAGTCTCACTTCACATGAAAGAATTCATACAGGGGTGAAACCATTAAAATGCTTGTGATGTGGAAACAACTTCAATTCCAAGGGGAATCCCGTGGTCCATCGAAGAATTCATACAGGGGAGAAACCATATCAGTGCTTGGAATGTGGAAAGAACTTCAGTAAGAGCACCAAGCTCACGTCCCATTAAATAATTCACCGTGGGGAGAATCATAGAATTGTAGCATTGGAAGGGACCCTAAGGTTAATCTCTTGTCTTTGTCCATGGAGTTTTCCTGGCAGGCATACTGGAGTGGATCACGTTTGGTCAAAACTCTCCACTATGACCTGTCCATCTTGGGTGGCCCTGCACGGCATAGCTCATAGCTTCTCCGAGTTATTCAAGCCCCTTCGCCACGGCAAGGCAGTGATCCATGAAGTGAGTGAGGAGGAATTAAAGAACCTTTTAATGAGGGTGAAAGAGGAGAGCGCAAAATATGGTCTGAAGCTCAAGATCAAAAAAACAAAGATCATGGCCACTGGTCCCATCACCTCCTGGCAAATAGAAGGGGAAGAAATGGAGGCAGTGAGAGATTTTACTTTCTAGGGCTCCATGATCACTGCAGATGGTGACAGTAGTCACGAAATTAAAAGACGCCTGCTCCTTGGGAGAAAGGCGATGGCAAACCTAGACAGCATCTTAAAAAGCAGAGACATCACCTTGCCAGCAAAGGTCCGTATAGTTAAAGCCATGGTTTTCCCAGTAGTGATGTATGGAAGTGAGAGCTGGACCATAAAGAAGGCTGATCGCCGAAGAATTGATGCTTTTGAATTATGGTGCTGGAGGAGACTCTTGAGAGTCCCATGGACTGCAAGAAGATCAAACGCATCCATTCTTAAGGAAATCAGCCCTGAGTGCTCACTGGAAGGACAGATCGTGAAGCTGAGGCTCCAATACTTTGGCCACCTCAGGAGAAGAGAAGACTCCCTGGAAAAGACCCTGATGTTGGGAAAGATTGAGGGCGCAAGAAGAAGGGGGTGACAGAGGATGAGATGGTTGGATAGTGTTCTCGAAGCTACAAACATGAGTCTGACCAAACTGCAGGAGGCAGTGGAAGACAGGAGTGCCTGGCGTGCTCTCCATGGGGTCACGAAGAGTCGGACACGATTAAACGACTAAACAACAACAAGGTTAATCTAGTTCAACCTCCTGCAATGTAAGAATCTCGGCTGAAGCATCCATGACATGACCATCCAGCCTCTGCTTATAATCCTCCAATGAAGGAGCACCCCCCGCCCTCTGAGGGAGTTCATTTCACTGTTTAACAGCTTCCACCACCAGAAAGCTCTTCCTTGAGCTATTTCCACCATCTCAGCCTCCTCTTTTCGAGGCTAAACACAGCCAGTTCCCTAAACCATTCCTCACAAGGCTTGTTTTCCAGACCCTTGATCATCTTAACCACCCTCCTCTACACATAACTGGACCCCGTATTCCAGGTGTCATCTGTCCAAGGACTAGTCTGACCTTGAACTGGACACTATACTTCAGTTGATGCAGACATTAGCCTTTTTGACTGCAGCGTCACACTGCTGACTCGTGTCAAGCCAAGTATTACCCATTGTATATATGTTCAGCTGATTATTCCTGTGTTAGTGCAGAACCTTACATTTGTCCTTATTAAAATTCATTTATTGCCTTTTTATACCACCTTTTCCTCCAAGGAGTATTAAAGGTCACAGTCCATCACACTTTTGCTGCATGAGTATACTCATGTGTAGGCACCTTGTTAGCAGCTTTCAGTCTTTCTGCTGAGTTTCTGGAAGCAGTCGTCAGCAGTTGAAGCTACACTTTGAGAAGAAACATTCACAGACACCGTAAAACTCAGTCACGTGTTTTATTGCTTGACTGGTCATAAATGCTTCACGGTAACACTATTTACAATCATTATAGCAAGAGCTGTAACGTCATACTAAGTCTCACTCTTTTTAGCAGCGAGATGCAGGCGGACACAGTCTATAGGCAGTCATGACACTACAGTTTGTAGGCAGCATTTGTTGGTCGGTTGTTTGCAAAAGGAAAAAACAAAAGTTCTGCTTTTATCAGCACTTGCAGCTGAAGCTGCGCATGCTCAGAGTGCCAATCCCACTTATATACGACTGTTCTGGAATCTTTTCACTGTTTCTGGATGAATGCCCCCCCCAGTCATATATAAATAGAAGGTATAATGGCTCGGGCTCAGGTTCAGGCACGAGTGGGCTTGGCGCAGTGGTGGCAGACGGAGGGGGTGGAGGCGAGCTTGCAATCACCTAAAAAAAGCTCACTGCCGGTGATGTTTAAATATACAATACTAAAAATACCAGTGTTTTGAATATTTAGGAAAATATCAAAGTTATGTTTGATGTTTAAAATTTTGATTTCTTAATTTGGGGTTCACCATCCGTGTATAAGACAAACCTCAATTTTTGAGTAAGTTTTTTAAAGCAAAAAACATTGACTAACACATGGAAAAAGATGGTAACTACAAATGATGGTTTCCTTTGCAAAGTGAACAGTTGCAATTATATCTTTGCACTGTCAACAGTTCACATTTGAAAGCAAGACCAGACTAGAGCGTAGTTCAATCGCGGACTGTGGGTTGGGGGGAGGGGTGTCGTCGTTAATCCAGGAGAATTGCTCTTTCAGGGTTCTGCCAGAGCCACAGATCTCCGGCATTGAATGTGTTGGCCTGGTGTGGGGCACCAAGGAGAGCCTGGCTGGCTGGCGGGTGTATCAACCACCTAGACCACTGACAGCCACCCTGTCAGGCCTGCTGGAGGTGGTGGCAGGCTGGGCCTTGGAGTTCCCTAACCTATTGGTTTTGGGGGACTTCAGCGCCCATGCTGACACTGCCCCTTCCTCATGGGCTCTGAACTTGGTGTCTTCCACGGCCTCACTTCGTTCAGGAGCTGACAGAGGCTGGGAATCAAAGCAGGAAAAGAGAGATAAGGACACTGGAATGTGAGAGGGAGGAGGGGCAGCCCAGTGGCATAGCTTCAGAAAGCAGAGAGCAGGCAGCAGATAGCAAAGATCCAAATACCAACCTTAGCTCAGAGACAGAAGGGGAGAGGCTGGGAATAGATAGCCCAAAAACTCGAAGGTGCGAAGAGGTCAGTGAGAGGAGGGGGAAAGAGCGGAAGCGAAAGGGTTTTCCCCCCTGTTGGAAGAAGAAGAAGGGCGGAGTTTAGACTCGGCAACTGCAAACTTGGAGTCAGACACAGAGTGAAGGAGCTCTGGAGTGATTTATGTGTTTGAGCAATAAACCTGAGATAATTACTGCCGGTGTCTCGCTTCTGTGGGAGAGCCAAGCCATTACACTAGGGCTCTCCCAGTTTGTTTTGGCAACACATGTCAAGCAGGCAACACACTGGATTTGATTTTTGGCACAGGTATAGATTAGGGTTAGGGGCAGGGTTAGAGTTATGGATAGGGGGTTAGGGTTTAGGGTGAGGGTAGGAGTTAGGGTTAAGGGTTAGGTTAGGTTAAAGGTTAGGTTAGGGTAAGGGTTGGGTTAGGGTAGGGGGTTTAGGGTTAGAGCAGGGTTAGGATTGGGTTAGGGTTAGAGCACCGGGTTAGGGTGCCCTCCACCAGAGGGGTCATGGCTGAGTCAAGGTAGCAGAATCGTATGATTTGCTGCCTCACTCAGATTCTGGCGCACCTCTCCCTTCTGTTACCCCGTTTATTATAGAAACAGGCCACCGACTGGACTGGAAAGTATGCTTAAAACATATAGTTTACTCACAGTCAAGCACCTGTCCTTAGCAACAACAGCAGTAAAAATAAATGCAGGTAAAATACTTGTATTTACAGTGAAAGCAGCCTCAGGCATGAGCCTGATGCTGGAGCAAGCAGATACAAGTCTTCTCCCATCGGCTGGTTGGAGAGAGAGAGAGAGAGAGAGAAGGAACAGAAAATACTTTTTTCCTTCTTCCCTACCAAGAGAGGAGGGGAAATGAAATAACACAGAGCTTTCTCTACCAATTGCATTGATCTGAGTCCACCTAACAGCAATACTGCTCTGTGATTTTAATCTCCACACTTGCTTACTAGTAAGAATATGCATTTTTAGATTTGATTTCTAAACTCCCACAATATTTACTCCATGGAGCAGTTTCGTTAGCATCCCAGCCTTCCACGGCCTTCCACGGCCTAACACAGTCAAAGCTCCATGAAAGAACCTACCACACCAGCACCCACCTAGAGCTGGCTCTGAAGTCTGCCTGTTTGTGAAGTGAGGCACTTGGGGTGCTCAGAGGCCCGACCCCTCCAATGGATGTAAGTTGCAGAGCTGCTGATTTCCATACCCCCTAAGGTACCCATCTCACACACCCCTCTGCGACGTCACTGTTTCTGCCAAGAAAGTGCCTGGTAGGTTGAGGCACAACCTCTTCAGTTCTTTGCTCTTCGTCAAAACTGGCTATCAGTTGTCCTTAAGGAAGCCATCCAACAGTCCCTTGCCTGAGCTAGGCCAAGCCCCCTTGCCCACCTCACCAGCTTCTTACAGACATCTCAGTTCTGTTTTCCCATCATTGCCAACCACAGAGATGCCAACTGAGAGTGCCCACAAATGGCAAGTTTAGTTGAGTGTGCTCATACGCTATGTCACTGCACTGAATGGTGCCCAAAGCAGCCTGAAACAAAGACCAACTGATCCTTGGAGGTTGCTAGTGCTGCTGAAAGCTCTTAACTCTGCCCCTTGATAAAAACAGGGTTATGACAGGAGGGATGCATTCCATTGTCTCTGCAGGCAAGGGCAGAGGAAGCGGGTGCAGTGGGTGGGTGCCACCCTGGGTGTCACCACTGAGGAGGGTGACAAAATGCTGGGAGGCACTCCCCACAGGGCCTGCAGCATGCCCAAGCCACCAGTGGTCAGGACCTCATTAGCAGGACCAATGGTCAGGGATGATGGGCCTTGTACTCCCACAACATTGAGTGACCCAAGGTGGAGAAAGGCTGCTCTGCACTGACTGGCAACCACTCTCTTTCTCACACAGGGCAGAGATACCTGGGTGCATTGGGTTCGCTGATGCATTTGGTGCAGAAGTTTCCCCTACGCAGGTCGCTCTCTCTGTGGTCTTTGTGGTCTTTAAGAACAGGCAAAAAAGTCCACTGCCAGTCCTTTGGCAAACACACAGGGCAGAAGTGAAACCAATTGAATCATCTGAAGCAAACTTAACAATAATATAAGGCTATGGTTATATGCACACTAACTTGAAATGAATTTTGTTGAGATCAATGTGACATTTTGGAACCTAGGTGAAACTATCCTGAAACGGGCAA